GGAGGATCGAAAAGTTTTGATCGGTGCTTTTCGGGCACCGGCTGAAGGGAAATTAAAGCATGTTTTGATTTTAATATTCAGGGCTGTGGTACAGGGACTGACGGTAGAGGTAAACACAAAATTGAGCATCAACGACGATATGACGTTGTACGTGAGGACCATGGACGTGAGCATTCATCTGAAAAAATTCGACGTGAGTACTTATTATAACCCTCGACTCATTTTTCCACGATGGAAATCGACACTCGAATCATCGTTCGTTTCACAGTTGGTGATCACCGGGCTGTTCGATGACGCGGAGATGTCAAAGTTGATCAGCCAGATCGCATCCGAGTTACTCCCTGACCTGATCGACGACTATCAGCAACAATTATCGAAAGTCGGAAACAAGCTCGTCACGAATCTACTCGACGGTATTCTGTCCAAGCTCACGTTAGAAGACTTGCTGGACATGATCGGCAACAAGTGAACGATTACGACAATCCATCTACCTGCACCATTGTGACACCAAGGACGATTAAAACTGAAACACATGAAATCCAAAAAGTTCCACTCGGCTGTAATTATTTTCCTAGCACTAGAACGACAAATTTCTAATCGATACTCGTAACACGCTGAACCTTCCGTTCCAGCGATCCAAGATCCATTCCAGATTCTCGATCAAATCCTTCCATCCTGATGTTCGAGACACGAGTATTCATAACGGACAAATTAAGGACAGCCGTTCACGCGAGAGAACCAGGCCAGATCGCGTGTGGGAAATCGGAATCGGGGTTGAACGTTGGAATCCGAGAAAACTTTTCGAGCCCTTTAGCTGCGAGTATTTTCAACGTTTGTAAGTTTCGAGAAAGTACAAACAGAGCCGCGGCGATTCGAAATTCCAGCGTGGTCCATCGATAAATTCCAGGATTTTCTTGTCCCGCCGTTCCAGTCCATCTGTTATTCTTGGACCCGTTCCCCTCCGTGGCTAATTCACCCGGGGAAGGGGATCACCCTAAATCTGCGGTCGCCACCTTCCAACGGCGTAATTAGCCGAGCAATCGATGGAAAACCGATGCACCCAGCGCAGGGTTACGAACTCTCGAGTGAATTCTCGTCGCGATATAAATTCTTATCTCGTCGCCTTATCCCCCGATTTCAGCGGAACGACGAGATTTCGGGGCCGCGGCGAAATTCCAACGAAATTCCACGAAAGGATGCTTACTCGAGTGTCGCGAACAGGCAAAGCCTAATGCAAAGTAATCGGGTGATATTCGACGGACCCAGGGAACCGCGAGCGAAAGGTCAAAGAAAACCGCCGGGGGATCGAGGGAAAATCCCCCGCTCGGGATGGTTAATTGACTTGGAAACTTAATTAAGTTCCCAACCATCCCCGCCGAAGATACAAACCGCTGCATCTGGCTGCTTCTTAATCTGCTCTCGTCCCGAGGATTCTGTATCCTCTCGGCATCCCACCGCGTCCGTTCCTTCGTCGATCCAAAAAAGGAAGACGAGGAGAATTTTTGCAAACGATTCCTGGGTGAAGATCACACTGACATTGATTGTACTCACATATAGATCTCTGTGTGCGGGTGTCGCGTGCACGGTACGTGGACTTTGACAAGAGCAACAAGTGTCTGTTTGGTGTACGCGATTCGAATCGGACGATGAATTTCGAGAGGATCGAGGTTCGTTCGCGCCTGATACTCCGTATCTCCTCTTCAAATGTATGTATATTACAAGCGATTCAATCGACTTTGGGCGATCCCGACGCGACAGTAATATCAGCCTTGTTAGGCCACGGGGCTTCGAGATTCCATCCGATTCTGTCCTCTATCAGTCTACACCGCGTCGTATGACGATTCGTTTCCGAGAAAAACAGTGATGTAACGCGATTAACGTACACCCGTTACGCTATCGTCGGGCAATATTGCGTTCGCACACCGGGACAGACGAGGCAACAAAACGTTTCACGCCGGTGAACCAAACACGCGTTGTAGGTGTGTGTGTGTGTATATATATTCAGACAATTGGCCTTATACATCGAACCAAGCGACGTAACCGAGGAAAGGAACGGTTCTCGAAACGACGTGTTAACGTGAGATCTCTCGTTATAGATAAATATAATGGGTTCCCCACCCCTGTGTACCACTCCAGAACCAGACGATTCTCAAGATTGCAATTCGTCGAAAGACTGAAAAGGTATGTAAACTCCATTATTATGTAACATCCCTTTTGTATCCCGACGTGCAGCCAATATCGATGCATTTCATTTTTTTTTTTTTTCATATTTTAATCTACGCGATACAAAATGCATTTTCTTTAATATTAGTTCCCATTAATTCTGCTTTCTACACACATATATCAATTGGCCAACTAGATAGTAGCACCACCTGGGATTTTTCGGTCATTATTCGGTCATCGTAATGAACGGGCAACATCGAAGAGTCAAATAGGGCTGGTCTACACACCTCCGAGGATAGCACGGAAAAATGGCGCGGCCCCGATGGAAACCGGTCGGTTGGTAGCGTGAAATAAGCGACGGAACGGACAGCTGACAATTACACACGGGGTCTCTCGAATAAGCTCGAGACGACGGCTTTTCCCTCCGTGGGACACCTGTGAATCTCACGAAAGTAAAAACGGATCCGTGCCGGCCGTCTAAGGACTAATCTCGTAACCGGCGGCTCCTTTTTTCGCCGTGCCGCGCCGGCAGGGCCGACACCCGGTATGCGCGGCCCCGTAGGAACGCTTGTAAGTGGCGTGTGTGTGCCGTGTAATTACGGGTTCTCGGTAAACCGAGGAAAACGGTCGACATACCGCGAGGCGTTTCTCATTTCCGTTGAAACGTCGATATCGGGCCGGGGGACAAGAGATATGTATGTACGTACGTACGATCGTATACATAATACCATAAACGCAGCGACGCCGCGTACGCCAAGGGGACAGAAAAGGGGTTCCGCGGGACGGTGTCCCCCGTGGGAAAGCTGCTTACAATTTACACCCCCCCCCCTTGGCCTTACGATTTTTCTTTCGCGAAACTACACTCTCGAGAATTACTTTATCGTTAACCTTTGCGATGTTTATGTCGGGTATACTCGTCACGAAAAGATGGCATTTTTCTTGTTTTATTGGATTAACCCTTTGCCTTACAACATCGAGTCAGACACGTGATAACGATTTCAAACTGAATTTAGCGAACACGTATATTATTCGTTTTCTTTCTAAATACTATTTCGCTGGCATGAACTTTTAAGGTTTATAATAAATGTAACACTTGCCATGAGAATAGAATGCCTTTTGTATCTGGGAAAATATTGTGAAGTCGTAAAAACAATCGTATGGCAAGGGGTTAAGCAACAAAATTTACAGTTTCTATTGAATGTAATATTTTGGTAAAACAATAAAAACATATTCGTGATTTTCACAGATTTGTAGAATATTTTAGGAGCGAAGAAAAAGAAACATGCAAAGAAAAAAATCACTTGAAGGAAGGAATATGCATTAGTATATAATGCACGAGAACTGATTGATAGGGAAATGACTTTTTTTTTACAATAAATGGCGTTCAAGTCGCAAGAGTAATGTTCCCATTAGAATTTATTTCAGTTATGCAACAAATGCATTTACTCTGGTTTTGTCGAGTATAGTCGTCGCAGTTTAAGAATTCCGAGGGTTATGAATACTTCTGTAACTCGATGTAACTACCTCGGGATATTTTTACTAATCTCTACTTTCGTGCATATAGATATTCACATCTAAAGAACCATATCGTGAAGCAGATTAAAACCGAGCGCTTGAACTGTCTATTCAATTAGTCCAAAGATAATTAGACGGGAATAGATTACCACAAAAATTGAGTAGGTCGCTGTTAATCCAGTGGGATCGATCCTGAATATTTCAGAATATTCAGGCGTCGTGGCTGACGATTATAAAAAGCTACACGATGCACGATGACGTCTCTTCCACGAACGGCCTTCTTAAAATTGTTTTCGATTCGGAGCGTTAGCTGACTTCGCTCACCCGACTCTCTATATAATTAATGTTCGAGACGCTCTGGCACTCGTCGTTGCGGTCTTAATTGTACAAGATTTCAATAAAGTGTGTCGGTCGTGCGCGCACAGTCGTCCCTTTCCCGGCTGTTTCGATGTCTCTTCCGAGAACGCGTATCGTCTTAATCAGGAAACTCGTACTGCCTCCACGGCTGGACGCGCCTTAACGCCAATTGATAACACCGCCCCGTTCTTTGAATGCGCGGGTCCGAGGGGCGACCCCGATAATCCGTGAATTAAAAATCGGTAACGGCTGCTCGATAGAACGCGAATTCTCGTTTATTTATACATTCCTTGACTCGCTAGAGTCGAGTGTGTAATTCTGCGAACCCATGTATGTATGTAGCTCATAAAACGAATATTTCAGCGAGCATGGGTCAAAGGGCAGATGGAAACAATAACAGGTTGCTTCTCGAACGTATCTGCAGTTCGACGAACAGTGTGTATTTGTGTAACAATGCGTTACGACTAAAGTAGAAGTCACTTTGATGATCGAGGACCACCTGTACAGACTCTGGGAATTACATTATCATCGTCGTTAATTGGTTCCCGAATAGCCGATGATGTCAGGATAATCTCCGTCGCGTCCGAACAAATAAAAAACGAGACGGTCTGTTACGAGCCGTTGGTCGATCGCGCGCGTAAACACGATCCCGCCGCCGACTACGATCATCCAGCATAATCGTTGCCACACGACACGAAACGACTGACCGCGTACTCGAATTCCTAGAACGCGAGTCAGCGTCGTGCGCGCCCGCGCGCCTGTAAATGAACGAAGCAACAAAGTGCATGTGTGTGTGTGATGGCGGTGCCAAATCACGGACAGCGAGCGACGCGGCGGCTCAGAAACATTCGAAACTGGATAATGAGAGCGTCGGAGACTTCCAAGGAATCGAGCTTTGATAACCAGAAGACCGAGAGGACAGAGATGAGAGAGAAAGAGAGAGAGAGAGAGGTTAAGATAGAGGGAATACGATGCACAATGGACGGTGAAAATAAAAGACCGACTAGACGATCGTAATAATGCGGATTAAACCACCGTCGAAAGTATAAGCAATATCGCGATAGGAAATTGGCGCAGGACGAAGATAACAATTTCGAACGATGACAGTTATAAATTCCTGTCGTTCCAGTCGATCCTGGATCTCCTTTATCGGGGATAATCTTTCTCAATTGAGACGATAAATTTCGACGAGACAGACCGAGAGAATCTTATTCTATTTATCCGATATAATTGTTCTACGTAATCGCCTTAATCTAACCCAGATCTTAAAAAGCTTTAAAATGTATATCGAGTGTTGCTGCCTCTCATTGGCCACCGTAGGATTTCGTTGAGACTTTACGAAGATCAAAAGGATCATTTTTAAATAATCGTGAGGCAGAATGTACATTTAACGTGTTAAGAAAAACGCGATTTTCGATATTTCAAGATGGCGTCCAAGCGAATTCCCCGAATTCAATACGCCGGCGGAATGACCGTGCACAGCCTTGGACGGAATCTTATCCCGGAAAAATTATCTGGCCGCGCAGTCATTAAACACATAAATTTGGAATTTATCGCATTCGCGGAAACGTCAGTCGCCTTTAATCGCGTTTCTCGCCGAAGTTTGCATTCGTATCGCGACGGTTTCGAACGACGAGAGAGAGAAGTCACGAGCTGAAGGATCTTGTGTGTTACGGTGCGTCGAAAAATACGAATGTTCCGCGCGGTTATTTGTTTTTAGTTCCGTGTACACGCGCTCGTTGTTTCAATTGTTTGCTTTCCTTTTCCTTGGCACTCGAGCAAACAGCAAAGAGGAAAGGGGGAGGAGCCACCTTCTCGCGTTAGTTCCCCACAAAAATTCTGTTAGCGAGAAGAGAGAAAAAAACAACAACGTTCCGAACAGGAAAACCGCGCACCGCATTGTTCGAATATATACCGAGAAACGGACTGAGCGTAACATTTGTTTTAAATTTAACGTTTATATTGCAAAACGCAAACAATGAATACTACAAGAATTTACACGAAAATATGTCCCGGGGATTTAGAGCACGTTTAAACGAGCTTTTCAGCTCTGCAACTTTTTGTTGTTACCAATGGCCGAAACCCACTCTACTTTACTTCGTTATGGACAGTAATAATAATAATATCTCCTTTATTACGGAATATAAAGCACATACCTGTACATTGTCACGTAGATTTTGATTCACGTTCGGTGAAACTGGCGAGGTTCGATGTTAACAAACAGAAGTATGTACACTGTACACAAAACGGTTACACACGATCACACGACACCGTACTCTTTTACTTGAGAATCCGTGAACGTCCGTGGAACTACCAACATTCTCCCGAGACATACCGTCGACGTTTTAACGAATAAAACGGTCCCACTCGTTCCCGTAACATCTGCTTCGCACATCGTCTCATGAATCCACGAAAACTTCCGACGAAAACACCAGAAAAGAAACAAAAAAACAAACGGGGGAAGCAGTGCCCTTCGAGGATCACACGCGGTTTCTTCGTGTACACATGTGAACCCCGACCGTACCGGTAGCGTCGGTGTCCCGCCGAGGAGCGACGAGGATTGTCGATGGTAGCCGAACGGGCACGAGGCAACAGGCGGCTCGTTTTAAACCCGTGGCCTACGGGGAGTTTTCGATGCGGTGGCCTGACAGTAAGCCGCCGGCCTTCACAGCGTGCGCGCGTGTTTCGTTTGATTCGCGAGAAACGGGTTCTCCGGTGAAAGTAGTATTATAGGCCTCCCGCGTTGTTCGCTGCCATTAATTTCTCGGCTCTCGTCGTATATTTTCTCTTGTGAGCGACGACGACGTGGACGACGACATTTGTTTTCTTGTACTAACGTGAGTGTAGTCGGTAGTCGTGACTAGTGACGCGTGTGCAACTTCAGAGTATTCGAAGGTACATTATCGCGCTTGCGAAAGAAATCGTTCGGAAACAATGATTTTTGCGGGAGCAGCAACGTAGTGAACGGTTAAACGTTTCCATCGGTGGTTGTGTCGCGTGAAACACGAGAACCGTTCGTAATCCCAGTGTAAACATCGTGTCAGGACGTGGAAGAAGTGGTTGGTGATTTGACGACAGACGTGTACGGTCAAGCGGCTCGCGTGTATATAAACGTGTACGTTCACGGGTATTCTCTTCGGACGTTAACGGCAGCCCGAGATCTCGAATTCTCTTTCCGCGGGAAAAACCACGGTAGAATACATACCCGTGGGAACAAGATTTCCATTTCTGAGAAACTAGCCCACGACCATGGCGATTCCCGGACTCGAAAAGCGCGCGATTTGAAGCGGTGCGTGTTCCCTTCGTGACAGTCAATCCTCTCGATGAAATCTCCGAAGATGACGAGATCGGCGGAATGTGGCGTGATCGTGTTGTCGTTCCTGGCGACGATCTGTCAGGCCAACGAACTCAAGGACTACTGTTCCATGCACAAATTCGACAATTTACCGGGCGGCCTGAGGTTCACCAAAGAAGTCGTGACCACGGAATACGCGAACATCGGGGCGTTCAAAGCTCTTCACTGCTGTCTACGTGGTTATAGAAGCATCGAATGGTGAGTGAAGAGAGTTTTTTTTTTCTATTTGAACTCAACCTACATTCGTCTCTCGAACCATAACGCCGCGACATGTTCAGATACTGTTAGGTTAGCACGCAATATTCGTCGTACTGTCGCAGTACTTTTGTAAATTGTGTGTATATAACGGTAATATGTTTATTACTTCAAATACACTGCATGTCCTGAAATAGCTCGAAACAAACCGCGCCATCCTCAGTTTTTGTCCAACGGCGAAAGATCGGTTCGGTTATAACGTATTCCTTTCCATGTAAACAAAGTGTTTGTTTCTCTGGTGTTTCTCGAGTCAATCGAACGTTACCGCGTTCAAATACACGCGTATCAGATCAGCCTGACGAAAACACGGCGTTCGTGCTCGTTTCAAGCGACGAACGAAGGTTAAACGGACACGACTTCTTGGAGAGGTCGTTCGAGTAGCAATTAATAACGGCGTCGTCGGACACTCCGAACGGCCCGTTTCCGTTTTCGAGTGTGTCTCGACGAAAGACGCCCGACACAAGGGGATCTGAGATTCCGTCGCGGAATTTCCCATGTTGTTAATTCTATCGCGGGCGGGAGTCACGCTTTCGAGGGCAGATTTGAATAACGTGCATGCATGTGTCTGCGTGCGTGTCCGACATTCGTGCTGATGCAATTTCTCGCCAGTCTGTTCTTTTTCTCTATTTCTTTCTCTTTTTTTCTTCACCGAGTTCGCGAATACTTGGAAACCCGCGCTTCCCGGCGTCGTGGAACTAATCCATTTATGGAACAGACGTTTTTTTTTCTTGCCCCTCTTGTCCCCGTGTCGCTGGAGGAATACGTTAAACCGGTTATTAGTCCGGCATACGGCACCGCGCTCGGGCGCTCACGAGCAAACACGATTTCCGGGCAAAACGTGCCGCCGCGACATCACCGTTGGTTCGCGAAACGTGTGAAAATTACCTTGTCTACCGAAACAATCGCCGTCGGAAGTATTGTACAGATTGGGCCGAAATCCGACCACCCTGAATATATGTATCGCGTGAAAATGTTCGTTACAACGAATTACGAAACGGTATCGTTTTTCAAATCTCCGATCGGAGCAAAAAAAAAATCGAGGAAAACGTTATCGTGAAATTCGGTGCGAGGACATTGTGCGACGAAATTGTATAGGGAAGGGTCGCCATTTTACCTCGAGAATACTAGCTGTCACATCTGTTTTCGCTGCCTAATTATGGTGCGACATAGGTTGCGACATTTACCCCCTGTGGATGTACCCAAAGCTTCATTGTTTTGACACGCGAAGACTGTATCAACTTCGGGGACTATTTGCTCTTGACGGTAAACCACGCTACCGTCATCGGAGTTCCTTCGGTCATTAAAGTTTAATGCTTCTGAAGGACCATCGGAGTCTCTAGCTAGCACCTCGGAAGCATAAACTTATTTTCGAAGATTACTAGACCGCGGATATCTTGCAGTTTATTACCTATAAGACTGTGCCATACAACAGAAAACAATAACTAGATTGCGAATGTTCTTGCATTCATAGCGTCCTCTTAACTTGGAAAACATAATGAAACAAAAATTTCAATAAAGTCCCGTATTATTCGTGTGTTATTAGTAATGTAGCGATGCCTCTAGTAAATAACTTTCAAAGATTCGTATCTGAAATTATGAATTTGCATAAACTGCCGCAGTCTAGCAATCAATCTCGTCGAATGAAACGAGTTTTCTATTTTATTTTTCACCCAACAAGATAGACAAGGAAATTAGATCTGTAGTTTTCTTTTCCTCGACCTGAATTACTTTATAAAATATAATTTTTGCATAAAAGAATCCTCAATTTTCCGATCAGACGTTCGGTAAGAATGGAACTATTCGATCCGTCCTAGTGATTGCGATACACCGGAATGTTTGGAAGCTCTCAGGAAAATATCCTTGAAAACATTACACGGTTCCCGGTGTTTTTTCTTTAACGAGGGGACCCACGGATCGTCTGGCCCTCGTTCTGAAATTCTCCCCGGCCGTATTTTTCCCAGTTGCTCCGTGACATTGTGTTCCAGGAAAAGCCCCCGTTGGCGTCGTCGGAGCGTGTCGAACGAACCGATTGTCGGACGATATTCGTAAAAACGACGACGCCGAAGAAGCGACCGAGCGCGCGCGCGCGCGAAGTGAGCGAACGAGGCACGTCACGGCGGTAATAACGTTTCCACGAAACGGCTGTTTATTCCACGATAAATCTAGAGGCGAGCTAGCTCTCTCGCTTTTCCCCCACGCCTTACCTCTCGGCTACGGGCTGCTTGCGCGGTTACGAAGTGCAAGGCAGAGATGGAAATCGCTATAGGGGGTCGCGGTTCGAGAGACGCCTTGTGTCCCTCGGCGACCGCAAGGCGCAGCCTTTAACAAAGAAACTCTTCCGAGAAGCGTTCCGAAAGGCCCCCAATCCCCTCTGCTCCCCGCGCCCTCTATGGGCCCGCGCGGCGATTTGCTCGAATCCCTTTCCCGTGTATACACCGGGAACTTTATTATTCCCTGGGACAAAATGGAACCTCACCCGGATCCCCCTCCCCCGCGTCGTCATTGTGCTCTCGCTCGACCAGGTGTCAAACGGTATATTTGTTCCGTGCCATTCACCGGCTCGAGAGAGGCCACATCGGTCCCCGAAAAACTCGTGGGCCCCATAAAACGGACGTGTGCCGCCGCACGGACACGCTCTTTTCCTCGGCCCATCCGCGTTCGTCTATCCGCCACACCTGTTACGTCTCTATCGAACGTGTCCATCTTGGAAGCGGGAGGGGGCGGGGTCCCCGGCCAACCGTTGGAACACGCACGAAATTATGCGGGCCTGGGACCCACCCCGATGCGTCACCCATTCAGATCGAATTAGCATTAGGTTGTTGCGCGCGGAATGACCGACTTTTTCTTGTCTCTATCGATAGTGTCTGCGGTACCGTAATAAATTTAATACCATCGAGTCGTCGTTTTTGATCTTTATCATCTGTGCGAGCAAGAAGCTATTTTTTTTTTCTATCGGTATATACACGTTCTCTGCGATCCTCGAGTTCGAACGAAACGTTGATCCTCGGTTCTCCGTGAAATAATTGCTTGTATCCGCGGGGCTCAGGGACCGACGATTATTTCATACTTATCTCCCTCGATTCTCCCCGGCTATTTTTCCATCCTCGTCGTCGGCTTTTCGCCGTAAACGATTTTCTCCCCCTCCTATGCTCCCTGTCTTCCGGTGCGCGCGCGCCACGCCACGCTGTCGACGATTCCGCGAAAAAGGAGCCAATGGGGGCCTGTGTTCGACGTTGAACAAAGGACGAAACCGTCGATGCGCGAACGTGTGTCCGGCTGACGTAGCGTTTTATTAGCGGTCGACTTCATCCGCGCGACAAAGGGCACGCGGAAGGCATAAATTAAACGACCGGCACACGGGATATTCTTGTTCACAGTGCTGTGGCTGGATGCCATTTTTATTGAATACCGTTTGAGCAGTATCAATTAGAAAAAGATAAAATCGACATGGTGATCCACATACTTCATTAATCATAAGTAGACTGTGGGATGTTTATGCAAATATCGATTTTTGTTGACTAATTTACAAAGATTGGAATCCGATAAAAATCTGATAGCCTCATTAAAGCTTCCGTAAGATTGAGGAGAGTATAAAAATCTCGGTAAGGTTCGTTAAAAGTTGGACTTTAGTGAGTTTTAGACAGTCTTGTTTACGATAAATTGCATAAAATCCGCAGTCTAATCATAAGTGATCGCCTGGAGAGGGAAAGATCCTCGATTCGATCACTCGTGCGATGTTCAATTTTTTAAAAATAGTCGAATACAAAATAATGGGTGGACATACGTGAAAAGAGAGCTGGAATTTTTGTCTAGCGTTCGTGAATAGAGCTTTAGGGGTAACAGATTCGTATAAAAACGTCTATTTGTTGCGGTATAAGTGGTTAGAGACGAGAGATCCATCTCTGTCGTGCGTTGAGTCAGCCAGAACGGCGGGATGACGAACACCCGGTAGACGCGATCGAACCCATCGGTTCACGCTCGCTATAAATTCTTCGGGAGAGTGAAAGGCGGCGGGAGGTATACGAAGTTTCTTCTCCGTACCCGTCATTGTCATCGGCTATTTATACGGTTGCATGGAATTGCTTGCTCCTCCGCTCTCCGCGACAATGACACGGCTATAACAACTGCATCGGGCATTATAATAATAATAATGATGGTACTTATTACATCATACGAACTGAATACACGGATAAACAGGACGAGATTCGGTAACGTGTACTATTAATAAATTTAACTATGATAAATATACTGCGAAAGTTTGCAGAAATTCAGAATTTTCGGTACTGATATATCTACATATAAAGTTACAAATGAAACGAAACTTGAAACCCTATAATAGGGGCTTTACTGGGTTAATGAGAACACATAAATAATATCAAGTTTCAGTAAAACCATTATTTTATTACGCGAGTTTCATGGTGCTATAAATGCATAAACTTTCTAAATACAAGAATAAAAATATAGCGAATAAACGCGAGAGTAAATTACAGACACGACGTCAACTTTTATAATGGTAACTAATGGTGCACATAACGTATTCGAATGAACGGAAATAGTAAAGTGGTCACCCCTCGACACGATTACTGTTGGAATAGAAAGCTGACATATAAGAATGATCGAATTGACATTTGCAAATTATTACCGTGCCCAGTAGAACATAGATAGTGCGTCTCCTCGAGTATCTTCTAACGTAGAATGTTGTTTCGCGACAATCGTGCGGACCATCTCTCGGCGCATACTTCGCGACGAACAAGGTTACCGGAAGCGAGCGGAGCCGGTGTTATCGAGGTTATGTTCGACGGAGGAACGTGAAGAACAAAGGATGAAACTCGAGCGAAATCATTGACGCGCGAACGTTCTTTCGGCCGTGTGATGTTCGCTCGCAGAGAATGGAGGTGCGAGTGCAACATCCGGATTAGTCGTTGGGAATGCGCCTTTATCTC